TACAGCATTCTCTACTTCTCTGCTTGGTTCAATAACTTGTTGCAATGTCCATACAAAACTCACAGACTTTACTCACGATTATGAGGTTTATTAGGGAAGTAACAAGTTACAGTTAAGATTTGGGAAATTCTCAGGATACAGTTCTTTGATCACAACCCCCTTCAACCCCCTCACCTGTGCCCGTAGGCACACCTCTCTTTGGCCCTCAGCCTGGCCTCTGCTGTGCTCTAGTGAGTATTACAAGGCTCTCTTAGCTCTGGTGGTAGGTGCCCAAAGAAGCACCCCATTCTGCCAGCAAGCCTCCTGCCTTAAAATGCTCAGCTTTCTCAGTCTGTAGGCCAGGTAGCCCACCACTCTGTCTCATGCTGGTCTCTTTTGGTTCTCCTGCTGCTGTCTGTCTGTCTCAGTGTCAGGATCTCGGGTCCAAGGATGCACTTCACTCCTGACTCTTCTTTGTTGATGGTAGTGAGATTCCCCTTTCTCCTGTGGTGGCTCATTTTAAGCATGGCAAGATGGCAAAACTGAGCAATCCCCGTATTAGGGTTCCAGATACCTTATTTGTCTCGTCCCACTCCCACAAAGGTGCTGTGTAGCTTATTTACATTATTATCAAACTATCCAATCCTTTTGGTGAGCTACAAGCACCACACATTTGTATAGTCCCACCCAGTCATTTGATGGGCATTACAAAGACTTTGGCTAGAAGAGCCATGTGATGGTTATGTTTGTGTGTCAACTTGGCTGGGCCTGGTTGAGTGGCTGGGCAGCTGGATGTGGTATTCCCCATGATGAGACTGGTAATAACTCCATGGTGGAATCTACTGGGAGCAGCTGAGTAGCTGCCTTTGGGTATGTGGTCTGCTTCCTGTATATATGGAGAAGCTTTGAGAATGGTCTCTAGTCCATGGCACGCTTGGACCCTGCATGTAGCCGTGTCTTTGTTGAGCAGCCTGCTATGCTGTGCCGACCTTGGGACTTACAATGGACTAAGTTAATGGTCTGCTGTGTGGTTTGGTAACATCGGGACTGTGCCTTTTTACTTGTCAGCCTTGGGGCTTCTCAGCCTCAGCAGCCAGCAGCTGTCTGAGTGAAGAAATGCCTCTAGGTCCAGTGGGCCAGGAGCAGGAGGCAGAGCTGGACCCCAAGGTTGAGGGGCTTTCACCCAGCCCCTAGAGCCTGGCACTTTGAACTTGGACTTCAAGCCTCCAAAGTGTAAGAATAAACTCCTATTTGTTAAGGCCATCCCATTTATGGTATATTTCTTGTCCGAGCAGCACTAGGTAACCAGAACAAGCCATATTAAGTAATTCACTGCACCACACTCCTCACTTACTGACATAATTTGGTTCCAAAGACTATGTTAGTATGCAAAAATCACCATATGAAAATTAGGGTAGCCTAAGTTACCACAAAATGGAAGGTGACCACATGAGATCACAAAATGGAGCATGACTACATCATTACATAACTGCCAAATTACATCATCTCATAACTAGCAGTCTGCTGAGAATCATGCCCAGCCAGGTTGAAACATAACCTTAACCTTCACAGCTAGTGTCACGCTCACCTTGTACCTCGGTATTTGTTACTGCCAGGTGTATGTTGTTAATGTGCAAAACAGTCCAGTGTATGTTTTTACTGTTGTTATAAATGCAACATGTCAGCTAATGAGACAGCCTAAGGGAGGTATGGGTGTATATCCTTTTTCTTCTGTTCTGTGAAGATTGTCCTTTTCTTGTAAGACAGGTATAATGGCAACAAATACCCTCGATATTTGACTGTCTGAGAATGCCTGTATTTTCCCTTCCCTTTTAAAGGATAATTTTGCTTGATAGAGGTTCCAGGTTGATTGGGTTCTTCCTTTCAGTTCTTTCATAGTTCATCCCACTGCCGCCTTGTGACATGGCTTTGGGAGATGAATTGGTTGTACCTAGTCTTCTTCCTCTGTAGGTGTGGTTTTCTTTCCATGCCTTCTTTCCAATTTTCTTTCTGTTTGATATTGTGCAGTTAAAATATGATATGCTTGGGTGTAAATGTTCTTTTGTATATCCTATTTCGTGGTCTCTGAAATTCTTTATCTGCGGTTTCAGAACTGTCATTAATTTCCTAAAACTTTCATCCATTTTTCAACTGTTTCTCTCTTTCTGGTATTCTCAGTATAAATATGTTACATCTTTTGGTTCACATTTCTTGGATACTGTGTACCCCTTTATTTTGTTCCTTTTTCTTTGTATTTCAATTTTCCATGTTTCTGCTGACCTATTTTAAAGCTCAAGGATTTTTCCTTTTCCACGTCCAATCCATTGCTGATCTCAGTAAAGACATTCTTCATTTCTGTTACAGTGTTTTTGATTTCTAGGATTTCCTGTTGATTTTTCTAAGGGTTTCCATGTCCATGCTCACATTACCCATCTGTTCTTACATGTGCTCTACTTTCTCAGTTGGAGGCATTTTTATATGAATCATGTTGTTTTTAGGTGCCGTTGAGTTATTTCCAACACATAGCAACCCTGTGTACAAGAGGACAAAACACTGCCTGCACCTTCCTCTCAATATTTGCTATGCATGTACACATTGTTGCAGCCACTCTATCTATCCATTTTTTTGAGGGTCTTCCTCTTTTTCGCTGATCCTCTACTTTACCAAGCATAACAGCCCTCTTCAGAGACTAGTCTCTCCTAACAACATGACAAAAGTATATGAGATGAAGTCTGGCCATTCTCACTTCAAAGGAACATTCCTGCACTTCTTCCAAGACAAATTTATTTGTTCTTCTGCAGTGTATAGGAACTCTGGTCATGTAGTACCTAAGGCATTTGACTGCTAACCAGAAGGCTGGTTGTTCAGACCACCAGCCACTCCTTAGAAGGAAGATTGGGCAATCTACTTCCATAGAGATACCACCTTGGAAACCCAAGTAGAGGGGTCACTGTGAGTCGGATCCAACTCGATGGCAGTGAGATTTTTTTTTTTCCTGGCAACGTATGGTATTTTCAGTATTCTTTGCCAATATCACAATCAAATGCACCAGTTCTTCTTCGGTCTTTTATATTCATTGTCTAGCTTTCAGTTGCTTATGAGGCTATTGAAAATACTATGGCTTGAACAGGAATATACTCTAGACCAAAGATAGATTCAGCTGAGGATAATCTTGCACAGATACTAGTGATACAAAATAACCACAATCATTACAGAAACAACAGAAGACAGACTTGGAGTAATCCCTCCTAAACAGCCAGACACTTTGGGGGAGAGAACCACCAGGTCTGCCGACTCAGGACCATAATATTGGGAGACACCAGGCTCAGTTGGCACAACATAATACATAAAAATCTTGTTCTACAACCTACTTTGGTGGGTAGCGACTGGGGTCTTAAGAGCTTTTGAGTGGCCATCTAAGATGCAGCACATGATCTCCTCTCGTCTGAAGCAGAGAAGAGTGAAGAAAACCAAGGGCATTTGGAAACAATCAGTCCAAGGATATGATGGACCTTCACACCAGAAGAACTGGATGGTACCTGGCTACCAATGCCAACTACTTGGGAAGGGATCAAAACTGGAGATCCTGGATAGAGTGGGAGGAAAAACGTGGAACAAAAGTAAAAAACACAGTAACAACCAGAATTACTGGCCAGATGGAGTCTGGTGGGACCCCCAAGACTATGGCCCTGGGATACACTTCAAGCCTGAGATGAAACTCACTCGCAAAGGCTGGCTCTCAGCCTAGCAGTAGTAAGACTTACATGTAGAACACCCAGCCCAGGGTGATGCACCTACCTACTCCATGGAGATACACCCTTTGGAGCAATCAGCCATGGGGCCCCGGAGGGGCAGCATTCCTATGGAGGGAAAGCTGGACAGGCAGGAGTGCATAACTAAGAATGGCACAGGGATGAGGGGCGGGGGCAGTCAGTAGATAGACAGAGGGGGAGAGTGGGTTAGGGTTGGGGATGGTAATTGGGGAGTGAAACCAAATGTACACAAACTGCTGAATGTAAAACAAATTCTGCCTGTAAATTTACACCCAAAGCACAATTAAAAAAAGAAAATACCATGGCTTGGTTCAAGTGCATTTTAGTCTTCAAAATGTCATCTTTGTTTAGTCTTCAAAGTGACATCTTTGTTTTTAGTCCTTTGAAGAGGTCTTTTACAGCAGATTTACCCGATGCAATATAACATCTGATTCTTTGCTGCATCCTTGGGCATTGATTGTGGATCCAAATATAATGAAATAACTGACAACCTCAGTCTTTTCTCCATTTGTCATGATGTTGCTTATTGGTCTAGTTGTGAAGATTTTTGTTTTCTTTGTGTTGAGGTATAATCCATCCTGAAAGGGGTAATAGCTGATCTTTATAGTTAGTCCTTCAATTCTTTGTCACTTTTAGCAATATGAATCATAATTATATTAAATGCCCAGTCTATTAATATAGGAGCTCTGGTGGCGTAGTGCCTAAGGCACTTGACTGCTAACCAGAAGGCTGGTGGTTCAAACCCACCAGCCATTCCTGGGAAGAAAGATGGGGCAATCTACTTCTGTAGTGATACTGCCTTGGAAACCTAAGGAGGGGTCGCTGTGAGTCGAATCTGACTCAAAGGCACATAACAACAACAACAACAGTCTATTAATTCCAGAATCCCTACCATAGCTGAATCTGATTCACATCATTGCTTTGTCTGTTCAGTCAATGGGAAAAGCTACCAGTCCCACCAGTCTTTCCCACTTACTAATAGCTCATCTTGTTTCCACCCTGTGCTTCATGTTTTTTGTATGTTCTGGTGGATCTTACAGAAGTAGTTGAATTTTATTTTACCACAGAGAAATCATGATCTGAATGCAGAAATAGGTCTTTCATTCATAGAGGATTTCTTTCCCTTTGGTATGTTTTCTGCCTGTCTGAACCATCAATATAGAGAGGAACAAGACTAGATAGGTCATAGTCACACTATGAAGAGATAAGTCCATGGTGGCAGATGTATTGTTAAATGTATGACCCAACATGCCCAGTGAACTGGGTACCAAAGTCTAGAATGGAACACAGAACCTTGTGTGAACACTCTCTGAATTCTCAGTTTCTCAGGATTGTTAACCTCACCCATCTATAGCATACACCTTCCTAATCAAGCACATGTGTGATGTTTTAGGAGTCAGTTGTGTTTGAGGATGTGGCTGTGGAATTTACCCAGGAAGAGTGGGCTTTGCTGGATTTTTCCCAGAGGCAACTCTACAGAGATGTAATGATGGAAACCTTCAGGAACCTGGACTCAGGTAAGGATGGCTTCATTCTTCGTATTTATTTCTCTAGTGAAGGAATATATTGTATTCATTGATCTTCTAGAATTTGAATTAAGGAATTAGAATAAATTGGCAAACATGACAGCCATTGTTACTGCTCTCATGGAGCTTAGACTCTAGTGGCTTCCCTGTGAGAATAAAACACGTTGTATTAAATTGACTGTGTATCATGTTGTTAAAAGCTTTGAGGCGCTTTAAGTGTTGCGTGAGTATTGGCTTCAAGGGTTACTTTATGGCAAAGAGAGATTTATGGTTTGGAACCTCTTGAGTGTTTTCCCATGTTTATGACATATTTGATGTGATTATTTTGCTTAAATTAAACTCACACTTGTCCATTTGTGGAGAATGTAGAGACCAAAGTATTGGCTTCACATCAGGGAACTGTGCTTGTCTATCTTCTCTCAGGATCTTTCCCCATGAGCACCATATCAGCCACACTGATTTTTCTCTCTGAGAAGCAAGGTAAAGTTTTGAGGAGACTGGAGATAGGACTTACCAGAGCTGCACTGTCAGGGAGCACCTTTAAGGCAAGAATCCTTTCAAGGACCAGGCCTGCTGGGATGGAATTATATTTGAAGAAATCAAATCCAAAAAATCTCCTTTGCTTTGAGGAGGTGGAACTTACACACTTACCTAAACTGACATTTATTTTAGTCAGTTGTCATATGCCTTCTGTGTTTGTGGGAAAAGACCTGCACAGTTTCCTCTTTTAGTGTTACCTTTATACACATGCATTGTTTGCACTACCTTTTTATTTTGCTTTCCTAATTACACTCAACTTATGTCACCGTGAGGAGACCTGAGTGGCACAGTGGTTAACACTTGGCTATTAACTGAAAAGATGGACAGTTTGAACCTACCAGCCTCTCCACAGGCAAAAGACATGGCACTCTGCTTCCACAAAGATTCACAGCCTTAGAAACCCAATGGGGCACTTCTACCCTGTCTTATAGGGTAGTCATGAGTCAGAATCAACACAATGGCAGTGTGTTGGGTTTGGTTTCTGTCACCATCACTTTCAATTGTTATGAAATTATTTCTTAATAAATGTCTTACTGTTTAGACCATTGCCAAGCTCCTGAAACAGCCAAAACTCAGTCTTTCTTCATATGTGCCTTTTTCCCCATAAAATATCCTTACAGTTCTGTTTCATCTCATATAATTCTACTTAAAATTATTTGGTCAGTATTTCAACAGGATGATAATGGACAAATGTTACCATTGAAGAATGACTCCTGGCCCTCCATGTCAGGAGAAACCTGTGAATTCCGTAGTATGGAACATCAGCACAACAACCAGGGAAGGCATGCGAGGTAAGTCTTAGTTACATGACAGTGCACAGTGCCTCAGGTTTGTCTAAATGTCCTGACATTTCTGTGTGCATATGTGTGAAGCTAGCTCTAAAATGATGTGGTTAGGTCGTTTTCACATAAATCTGAATCAGATACAGAGTACAGGTGTTTTGCCTGTCATCGATGATATGCTCTTTGATTTGCCATTGTGCAGACACCATATCATATATAGGAGAGGGGTGTGCAGGCCGCTGTACTGAGGGACTTGGTGAAACCTTTGGCTCCTCCACTGCTGCCAGACCTGTGTAGTTACCATTGGGTCTCTGAGAGCTTCACCTGGCCTCTGCTGAGGGGTGCAATTACTTTTGAACCAGCCACTGCTAGGCCTACCATTGGCTTCCTTCCCTTCCTCTCTGCCTACTTTCCCTACACCCACAATGGGTTTTAAAGTCTTCCAGCCTCACCTTCCTCTCCTACATCCCTTCCCCTGGCTGCTTTTCCTCCTCCTACTCCCACTGCTGCTGCAGCCTGGAATAATTGGCAGCTGCCACTGTGGGAGTAGCGTTGGGCTTGGGCATGATACACAGGGTGCCCTGTGGGACAGCAGCCTTGCAGGGCATCCCCATTTGCAGCTCTGGCAGCAGTCCCTGACAGAAATGAGCATACTGTTATGGCAGCTGATGATGGGATCCAGGATCCCCTCTCCCTGCAACCCAAGGGCTGGGGCAGATGTGGGACCAAGAAAGCTAGTGGGAGACAGATAGGATCTACAGCACTTAGCAAAATATGTCAGCTACATCCTGTTCTCTGACTTGGATTTGTGAGCTGTGTTAGAACCTTACAGGACTATGGATATATATGTGATCAGACATTGCCCATATGGATGTTACATAGCACATATCAAAACAAAACCCAACTCACTGCCATTGAGTTGATTCTGACTCATAGCGACCCTCTTTGGGTTTCCGAGGAAGTAAATCTTTACGGAAGTAGATTGCCATCTCTTTCTTCTGTGGAGTGGCTGGTGGGTTTGAACTGCCAACCTTCTGGTTACCAGTCAAATGTCTTAGGTACTACACCACCAGAGCTCCTTCATACCTGTATTTAAAACATATTGCACTTATACTTGGTTATCAGAAAGCTCTATTATATAGAAACATTGTGACTCATAATGGTAGCACCATCTATAAGATGATTCAACCTGTGTAACAGGAGACAACTAAGGACAGAAAGCACACTTTCTCACTGTACAGTAATTGTGTGTGTACAGTAATTGTGAAATGGTAGAAAATGCAATTCTAACAGCATACTTCTTGTTTTTTTTCTTTTTAACAGAATAGATACAGTAGAGAGCCTCTGTGAAAGGAGAGATGATAAAGTAAACAAAGCTGAAGAGGGTAATCACTGTGGAAATCCTTTCAGCTGCACTGGGAATCCTGCTGGAGTAAATCTCTTTGAATGCCTTGAGTATGGAAAAGCCTTCATGGATGACTTACCATTTAAGCATTATGTCATGTCTCACAATGGATACAAACCTTATCATTTTAAGGAATGTGGAGAAGACTTCAGTTGTCCTTCTTACCTAAAACTTTGTGTGAAAGAGACACTTTGTAAATGTAAAGATTATGGAAAACCTTGTACTTGTTCCTTTCCCCTCACTAAACACACAGGAACTCACAGTGGACAGAGGCCTTATGAATGTAAATGTGGGAAAGTCTTTAATTATTTCTCAGGCCTCACTACACATATGCGAACTCACACTGGAGAGAGGCCTTACAAATGTAAGGAATGTGGGAAAGCCTTTGGTCGGTCCTCACACCTCACTACCCATATAAGAACTCACAGTGGAGAGAGGCCTTATGCATGTGAGTGTGGGAAAGTCTTTAGCCATCTCTCAGGCCTCACTAAACATAAAAGGACGCACAGTGGAGAGAGAATTTTTGAATGTAAGAAATGTGGGAAAGCTTTCACTTGTTCCTCATCCCTTGTTATACATGAAAGATCTCATAAGGAGGAGAAACGTTATGAATGTCAGGAATGTGGGAAAGCCTTTAGTTGTTCCTCATCCCTCACTAGACATATCCGAACTCACAGTGGAGAGAAGCCTTACAAGTGTATGGAATGTGGGAAGGCCTTTACTTGTTCCTCATCCCTTATTACACATATGCGAAGTCATAGTGGAGAAAGGCCTTATCAGTGTAAGGAATGTGGGAAAGCCTTTAGTTGTTCCTCATACCTCACTACACATGTTCGAACGCACAGTGGAGAGAGGCCTTATGAGTGTAAGGAATGTGGGAAAGCTTTTGGTCGGTCATCACACCTCAGTACCCATATAAGGACACATAGTGAAGAGAGGCCATATAAATGTAAACAGTGTGGTAAAGCCTTTAAGCAGTTTCCACAAGTCACTACCCATATGAAAACACATAGGGAAGAGAGGCCGTATGAGTGTAAACAATGTGGGAAAGCCTTTAAGCAGTTTTCACAACTCACTACCCATAGAAAAACGCACAGTGAAGAGAGGCCTTATGAATGTAAGGAATGTGGAAAATCTTTTACTCAGTTTGCATACCTCACTGCTCATATCAAAGCTCACAATGGATATAGGCCTTATGTATGTGAAGAATGTGGGAAAGCCTTTACTCAGTCCTCAAACCTCACTGTTCATAGAAGAATACACAGTGGAGAGAGGCCTTATCAGTGTATGGAATGTGGGAAAGGCTTTTATGAGTCCTCGAAGCTCACTGACCATGTAAGATCTCACATTGAAGAGAAAAATTATGCATATAGGGAACGTGAGAAAGCCTTTAGTTGTTCCTCATCTTTCCTGTAAACATATGGAAGATATGAAGATAGGCCTTGTGATAGTAAGGAATGTTAAGAAAGCCTTTAGTCAGTCCTCATATGTTACTGACCATGTAAGATCTCACAATGGTGAGAACCTGCAGTGCAGTGAATTGCTATCATATGGCCTTTCTAGTCATGGTCTTGTGACCTCCATGAAATGACTAGTTAGGACTATGAACATAAGGTATATAGAGTCATTGTAGCAGATTGCTCAGTTTTGCTGTCCAACTAGGTTCAAAAAAGAGCGAATCTCAGAAAGGGGTAGGAAGACCTCACTATTGTGAAGAAGACAGGCCAGAAATGGGAGTGCATCTTTTTGGACCAAGGGCCCTGGTCTGGGAACCTCCTTGACCTGGGAGTTTGACATTGTTGGAGGAACAGTGCAAGATGGTGAGAAGCAGCAGCAAGCATGCTATATAAACAGCAACAGAATCAAGAGAGCAGCCCAAGATTGTGCAGTGGGCTTCCTGGCTCACAAAGTGAGTCAGCCATGGTGGGCTTGCCAACACACAGTCAGAGAGCTGAGCGTATTTAGGTAGGAGGCTTGCTGGCAGAGTGGAGTATGCTCTAAAGAACAATAGCTGTTAGCAAGGCAGGGTGGAGGCTGGCGGCAGAGGTCAGATCTGAGGAGGACCCAGTGGCAGAGGTGGGTAAGAAGCTGTCCTGATTCAAGAACTCTATACTGAGTTCTTGTTAACCTCCATCTTGATGCTGTTCTTGCATTGTAACCTGTTTCTGAAATAAACCCCATTAATTGTGAATGTTGTCTGTAAGTTCTTTGTGGCCACTGCAGGGAATTATCAAACCCAGCAGTAAAGCAGAGTTGTATGGGAGTGACAGCTGGTGTCAGAATTGGGTTAAAAAAAAGGGGGGGGGTGGAGGTGGCGGTCAAACATACAAGTTACACGAATCAGCTTTCCGTTGATAGTGATTTTCTTTACTTCCTCTGAAGTTAGAAGATGGCTTCTGATACTATACCATTTTTACTGAAGCCTGTGAATGCTAAGGAATGTGAGGAGGCCTTTAGTTGGTCATCAGTCCTCAGTAAACATAACTCACACTGGGGAGAGGCCTTACATATGTGAGTGTGGGAGTCTTTAGTCATCTCACTGAAAAGAAACAATATATGTGGAAAGCTTTTGTTCATCTCTCATCTTTCAAAAAAACCTTATCATTCTATATTTTTAATTTTTATTGTGATTTTGGGTGAAAGTTTACAGAGCAAATTCATTTTCCATACAGTGCGTACATACTCTGTTTCATGACATTGACTGCAATCCCCACAATTTAACAGCTCCCTTCCCAGTTCCTCCCAGTAGTTAAACCTCTTCCCTGTGTCCTCTTTTCCTATCCATTCCTGTCCCCTGAGCTATCTCCCTGTGCCAATACTGTCCTTCAGATCTCCCATGATTGATTGTTCTAAGGAGTGTACTGACCTGGTGTAAATGTTCACCTTATATGCCTGTCTATTGTGTGGCTGGAAGGCATGAGAGTGAGTTCTATTCCAAGCCTGAAGGGTGACTAGAGGCCATAGTCTCAGGGGTTTCACCAGTCTGTATCTGATCAGTAAGACTGTTCTTTTTTTTTATTATTATTATTTTGAGTTTTGTTCCACATTTTTCTCCCACTCAATACAGGATCTTTTGTGCTGTTCCCTTTCTGAGTGGTTGACAGTGGTAACTGGGCACCATCTAGTTCTTCTGGTCTCATGGTCCCCTAGTCCCTAGGTCCAGTTGTTTCCATGGATCCTTGGTTTTGTTGATGCTTTGCTCCAGAGGAGGAGAGACTAATTGTTGCATCAAGATGGCCCCTTACAAGCTTTTGAGACCCCATCACTACTCAGTAAAGTAGAATGTAGAACAACGTTTTTGTGTAGTATGTTAGGGCAATTGAGCTTGATGTTCCCAGAGACTATGGTCCCAAGCCCACAGGTCCAACAATTCACTCCCTCAGGGTGGTTGGCTATGGCTAAGAAGTTACTTTGCCAAGTTAGTTCTCTTTATATGGACATTCTTTCAGCACTTACAAACACGTGTGTGGAAATATCTGTATATTCCATTTTCCCTAGATATACTTGATCATTCAGTCCATCTAGCTAGCTATCTACTCATAGA